GAGATCAAGATGAGGTTTCTAATTCTTTTGAATCTTACAGATATTACCGCCAACATTACTGTTTTTCTGGATTCTCATCGAAGTTTCTTTTGCGGATTCTTCGAGTTTTCATCAAAGGTAGAAAGAAAGAAAGGACAAGAGGAAAGATGGATTACTGATGTCTCCCTTAGAGACATTGTCCCCACTGTTACTGTTGTTTTGGGATTACTCACCGGAGTTGTTTTTTGCCGATTCTTTGTGTTGAGAATCACTATCTTTCCCGCTTCGTGAAGTTAAGATATGCACTTAGAGATTAAGGATAGTAAAGAGAGCACAAAAGTATAATTCTCCAATTTGGAGATTCTTCCACTATACAAAATAATAATAGGATTACAAGGATGTGTTCACAAAATTTGACTCACACTTGGTGGATCACTCAAGCTATAGGATAAAGACTTCCCAAGCTATCTCTATTCTCTCTCAAAGAGGCTCTCTAACTCTCTAGTTTCTCACTCTAAAAACTGGACTCTCTTAGTATTTTTGGATTTCATGGATGGTTAGGAATGAAGTCTCTCACCCCTATTTATACTACTCCACCTCCACAATGAATGATGGAGATTACTTACATCCAAGGGTGGAGATTAATTATCTAGAATGCTCCACACACTATAAGAAGTTCTACACTCTTCCACTCCCTTCCATATTCTTCTATACTCTTCCATAATGTTCCACATATCTCCAGAATATTCCAAAGGATTCCAGACTCTTCCATAAGCTTATAGTGAGTTCTACACTTCTCTAGAGTTCTCTAGAATGTTCTAGAAAATTCTACACTTCTCCATATAGCTCTAGAATTTTCTAGAACCTCTCTAATTAAGGAGAGATCCAATACTTTGGACATCATCTCGTTTGATTCAGTCTACATCAAAGGTGAGAAGTAATTTTGTTATTCTTTAAAATTTTAGTCAATTTTTTTGAAAGAGATCAAGAGGAGATTTCTAATTCTTTTGAATCTTACAGATATTGCCGCCAACGTTACTTTTTTTTAATTCTCATATGAGTTGCTTTTTGTCGATTCTTCGGACGTCCATTTGATTCAGTTTACGTCAAAGGTGAGAAGTAATTTTGTTTTTATTTAGGGTAAACTATACAAATGATCACTAATTTTTGAGTAAGTTTTTATTTTTTCCACTTCAGTTTCAAAAGTTATAAATTGGTCACTAATGTTATCGTTTCAAAACAATTTTATTTCCTTATGTTTTGGTCACACTTTAATTAATAGTGTGGTTTTCTTGTTCTAGATTTAATCTATAGAAGCCACACCAGATCAATTGATTGCTGGGCAAGAGACGAGATACAACCTCGTTTTATTGTATGCGAGCGACTCATTGTATGCAGAAACATTGGAATTTTGGAAGTTGTTTCGTACTATGCGACAATAAATTAATCAATTTCCACGCCAGATTCGGAATCTGAACCGTCTAACTGATGAAATCACATTGTTGTTTGATTTATCGAAATTCAGAATTGTTTCCTAGGTAAACATAGTGGTTGATACCACTGCCCGCATATCAGCCGCTATATCGCAGAGATTTCCTTTACCGTCGTCGCCATTACTATTTTTTTATTCAAGTTTTCATCAAAGGTGAGACTACTAATTCAATTCAGTCCTTACTTTTCATCGCAGAAATTAAGATGAGGTTTCTAATTCTTTTGAATTTTACAAATATTGTCGTCAACGTTATTGTTTTTCTAGATTCTCATCGAAGTTGCTTTTGTAGATTCTTCGAGTTTTCATCAAAGGTACAAAGAAAGAAAGGACAAGAGGAAAGATGGATTATCGTCGTCTCCGTTAGAGACATTGTCCCCACCGTTACTGTTGTTTTGAGATTACTCACCGGAGTTGCTTTTTGTCGATTCTTTGTGTTGGGAATCACGATCTTTCCCTCTTCATGAAGTTAAGATATGCACTTAGAGATTAAGGATAGTAAAGAGAGCACAAGAGTATAATTCTCCAATTTGGAGATTCTTCCACTATTTAAAAGAATAGTAGGATTACAAAGATGTGTTCACAAAATTTGACTCACACTTGGTGGATCACTTAAGCTTGAGGATAAAGACTTCCCAAGCTATCTCTATTCTCTCTCAAAGAGGCCTCCAACTCTCTAGTTTCTCACTCTAAGAAGTGGACTCTCTTAGTATTTTTGGATTTCATGAATGGTTAGGAATGAAGTCTCTACCCCCTATTTATACTACTCCACCTCCACGATGAATGGTGGATATTACTTACATCCAATGGTGGAGATTAATTATCTAGAATGCTCCACACACTCTAAGAAACTCTACACTCTTCCACTCCTTTCCATATTCTTCCATACTCTTCTATAAGGTTCCACACATCTCCAGAATATTCCAGAGGATTCCAGACACTTCCACAAGCTTCTAGTAAGTTCTACACTTCTCTAGAGTTCTCCGGAATGTTCTAGAAAATTCTAAACTTCTCCGTATAGCTCTAGAATTTTCTAGAACCTCTCTAATTAAGGAGAGATCCAACACTTTGGACGTCATCTCGTTTGATTCAGTCTACATCAAAGGTGAGAAGTAATTTTGTTATTTTTTAAACTTTTAGTCGATTCTTTTGGAAGAGATCAAGATGAGGTTTCTAATTCTTTTGAATCTTACAGATATTGCCGCCAACGTTATTGTTTTTTGAATTCTCATCGGAGTTGCTTTTTGTCAATTCTTCGGACGTCCGTTTGATTCAGTTTATGTCAAAGGTGAGAAGTAATTTTGTTTTTATTTAGGGTAAACTATACAAATGATCACTAATTTTTGAGTAAGTTGTTATTTTTTCCACTTTAGTTTCAAAAGTTATAAATTGGTCACTAATGTTATCGCTTTAAAATAATTTTATTTCCTTATGTTTTGGTCACACGTTAATTAATAGTGTGGTTTGCTTGTTCTAGATTTAATCCATGGAAGCCACGCCTGATCAATTGATTGCTGGGAAAGAGACGAGATACAACCTTGTTTTATTGTATGCGAGCGACACATTGTATGCGGAAACATTGGAATTTTGGAAGTTGTTTCGTACTATGTGACAAGAAATTAATCAATTTCCACGCCAGATTCGTAATTTGAACCGTCTAACTGATGAAATGAATAGAATGGGGGGGGGGAGATATAGGAGAGATGGAGCTGGCGAGACAAGAAATGGAAACCTAAAATCAAGAAACAATCAGGCAACTGAATGAAATTGGTTTGGAGGCCGAGAGGAGCATCACCTATGAGCTCCAAATTCACAAATCGATCGCAGAAAACTTTGAAATGAGGCTTCGAGAGGATATAAGAAGGAACAAAATCTGTGTGATTGAAACCATGGCGGAGCTGAGGATGCTGCAAGATATGCATATGGATTGCAATCCAATTGTTTATCGAGGAAATCTGACGTTGCAGAATGCAGCTATTGAATCTACAAATACAAGACATGTGCTTCTCAGATAAATACACTAAGAATAGTCAATTTTTCATATAAATACAATAATTTTTCATACACTCTAGGAGTTGTGAAAAAGTGTAGTCAAATTTTCATATAAACACACCAAGTATAGTCATTGTTTTTTCTATAGATTTCCTTTTGTACTAAATTCTCCGTCATTGAATCTATAGCTGGTTTATAATATTTTTGGTTAAATATATTATTAAAAATATATTATTAAAACTTAAAAGTAAGTTTAAAATAATTTAACTTTTAAATTTTATGATGATGTGCCATGTGATGATATTATATTTATTTAAATATTAAAATACTCAATTCTATAAATAAAATAAAATAAATAAATAGATGCACATTTCACTGAACTGTCTTTTCACATGCTTTTGTTGCATTTTTGCCATCTAACCCCATATATATATATATATACTCATACACACACGCTTCTTCATTATTGTTCTGTTGCATCCCATTTTGATGTAACCTTGTTTTCTTCACTTTCTTGTACCTTCTTTGTCAGATTAAATATATCCGTTTTAATATTGTTATTATATACCCTACTTTGGTTTCATCTTTTACCTTATTGAGTCATTGTAAATGCACTTCACAGGTCAAATATAATATTAAAATATTGATTGAAGAATGCATTCATAATTTTATATTATAATTATATAAAAATACGAATTGTACGTATCATCAGTCATCACATAATAGGTATTGCTATTATATATATCTTTGTGTCTTAATTTCTACTCCATACAATTAAATTTTGTTACATTAAGTGTAGAAAAGTTTAATATTTCTTCTTCTTTTTTTATTAAGATTACAAAATAATATCTCTTTTAAATACTCTCGATCATTTGAGAATGGACACTCAATCATCATACTCAATCATCATGCTAAAGCAGTTGGTGCTCGAACTCGTAACCTCTAGAAACAACATCGGTTCTTTTAATCACTGAGGTAAGTTAATTCGTACAAGTTAATATTTCTTAAATAATTGATTAAAAATAAGAAAAAAATTACCCTAACTTTTTAAAACAAAATCCCTCGACCCCATCTCGAATTTAGTTGATACACAAATTGCTGATTTTATAGTATATTATATTCCAATAAGAGGTTGTTTGAGGAAGAAAAACAAGGATGGAGATTATTAGTCTCCTCACTGTAGCAAAATGGGTGTGTAGTGGCGGTTTTAGAGTAAACACCATTAAATTTTTATCTATCGCTTCGTTTGTAATAAAAACGCCACACAAAAAAACCTCTAGATCTATTATGTTGTAGTGCCTCCTGGTACATACATTAATGGGGGCGTAAAACTACAACTAATGACTGCTATATAAGTGATACTTGCAGCAGTCCAATGCCGATGTTATCTCTATTGTGTTTTACTTGGGGATTGTTCATGCTGCGAGAGAAAAACAACAAAGGGATTCATTAGACATAACAAGTTTGTTGGACATGACTAGTGTGTAATACAAGAAGAAGGAGAAGGAGAAGGAGAAGAAGAAGAAGAAGAGTAAAGGGTTTAACCAGGAGGGTGATTCCAGTAGTTGGGGAACGGGACTCGGCCTGACTCGATGCGCTTCACATCCTCGAGGAGAAGCTCATAGTGTTCCTTCACTTCCTCCACGGTTTTCCCTCCCACGGCTCTGGCAACTTTGTACCAACGGTCCGGCGTGTCCTTATCGTACACTGCCAACGCCCTTTCGAAGTCCTTGTTTTGCTTGGCCGTCCACGAACCACAACCACGAGATGACATCGCCATTAACCTTTCTCTCAAGACCAGGGGATGATGTATATATGAGCAAAGCTTTGGGAATGGCTGCCCTTTATAAGCACAAGAGTAGAGGCAGTTGGGCATAAATCTACCAAACCATTGTATTAATTTTTGTTACACTGTTTATATAAATCATGTGACTTGGAGTGATAAGAAACAAAATACTAAAATGTACTGAAAACTTGTGTTCATCGCCATAATTCACGTGCTTCAACTGTACAAATCCATATTTTATGCCAAGGTATAAAACTAGGGCATATGTTATTTCTCATAATATTATAACTTAAAGTCCTTGGTTAAGAAGTGCCTTATTGTTATATCTAGTATTGATACTAGTACACTGCATCGTGAACATCATTTTCTAGCTGCCTTTGTTGTTCACTTTCGTGCCAAAGGTCAAACATGTCTTGCCCATTTTCTTCTTTATAAATTAGGGAGCTTATTCTTCTATTTTGTTGTTCAATGTTCGGTTTTCTGGTAAAAAGGTTCCTCTAATTTGTTACACTTCTGCCTAATCTCTTCTTCTTTGACAGGACACTGTTACAAGCTCTTTACAATGCAAATGTTTAAGGAATAAATTTAAATTTTAAATCTTAATATTCATGAAATCTTTTCATATCAATTGATGAGAATATGTTATTATTTTATGGGTATATATATAATGGAGCAATGAAGAAAAAGAAAATATGACAAACAAAGATGGGATGGATATGACACATGCTAAATTATTTGGTGCTAGAAATTCGAAAATAGTTCCTAAAATGTGCAAAACACGTCCAGAGTTGGTATCAAATAAAAATGAACTGGACACTGCTTCATATGAGAAAGGGTATCCATAGTTTCAGTGCTTTATTATAGCACTCAAATCATGAGTATTATATTTCAATTGGAATGTTTAAAAACTAATTTAGAATGAGATTCATAGTTTGGGGATGAAATTGGAATGTTCAAAAGTTGAAGGATTAATCTAGAATGAGATTCATAGTTTGAGAATGAAATTAGAATGTTTAAAAACTTAAGGACTAATTTGAAATGAGGGTCATAGTTTGAGGACATATGATGCAATTAAGTCTTAAAAAACAAATATAACGTATAAGAAATGAAGATTAAATAAACAATTATACAAATTTTAAAATTATCATGTAAGTAATTTTATTAATAATTATTAAGTTAGAAATTCTACGAACGAAGCAGATTGAGTTGGGAGAGTTGTCTCCATAATAGATCTCTGTAAAACTCCATTTAGATTAGTCAATCAATAGATTCGATACTGATAGCTAATTCAAGAAAAATAAAGTGTAGGTTAAACTACGGTTGGAACTAATTATATATTTGGATGATATTGTAGACAAAATTTAAATATTCAAAAGGTTGGGAACCAATTTAAAATGAGGGTCATAGTTTGGGGGCGAAACTAGGATGCTTAAAAGTTTGATAACTATGGTAGTCATAAGTTGTGGATAATATTAGAATATTCAAAAGTTTAAGAATTAAATTAAAATATGAGTCATAATTTCAGGACATATAATGTAATTAATTCTTACTTTGAATGATTTTAAATATTTTTATCTAATTGCTAGCCTAACTACTCCATAAAAATACTGTCACATATTTAAAATATTTAAGAAAAGACGATCATATATTAAATTTAATCTCAATCAAAATTTTATTCATAAAAAATAGGCTTAAGTATAAAATAAGTGCCCAAACTATAATTGTTTTCACGAATAGGTGCCTAAAGTATTTTCGGCTTATCCGAATGCCTAATGTTATCGACGTTACCACTTTAGGCGCCTAACTTTACAAAAGTTACCACTTTAGGTGTTCAGACCGTCAAGCGGCGTTAATCCTATCCGTTAAGTGATACGTGTTACTGTAACATTCCGAAATCCGGGTCATTAACTAAAATGAGAATTTTTGAAATTTGGGGATTTATTTAGGAAAAATTAAAAGTTCAAGAATTTTAATAGGAATATTTCATTATTGGATAAAAGGGTAAATATGAGATGATTATAAGGGTATTATGGTAATTTAGCTTGGAAGATATTTTATCTCCCTTATTTAGGGAGATAACACATGTGAAAGGGGAAAAAGCTTCAGAAGCTTATCTTCTTTCTTTCTTTCTTCTTCTTCCTCTCGTGGCTTCAACTCCCAAAGGTAAGTTGATTTAATTTGGTTAAATTCTGGAATTTATAAGTTGGGATGTAATATTTGGGTATTATATAAGCTTAAGGTAAGCTTATATAAGCTTAAAACATTAAGCAGAGAAAATTTGAAAGGAAAATTGATTTAGGGTTGAGAAATGAATTCTTGTTATAAAGAGGTTTTTGAAGTTTTAAAGATGGATTTGACTTGTCAATGGGTTAATTAAGAAGTTAAAGGTGATAAAATTGAATTTAGAACACATGGAAAATTTAATGAAATTCTTTGATTCAAGAATTATGGTGGATTATGGGAGATGATAAAGTTTTATAGTGTTATAAGAAGGTTTATACATGTATAGATAAGTTTTAAGGCACAATGAGGGGTTAATAAGTAGAATTTGAGGTCAAAGTAAGAATTTTCGGGCTCAAAATGTAATTTCTGGGTTGTGTGCATCGATGCATCTTCAATGTGCATCGATGCACTCTCAAATAATTAAACATCGAGTACAGTTAGTGCATCGATGCATGAGGAGTGCATCGATGCATGAGGAGTGCATCGATGCATGAGGAGTGCATCAATGCATCCCCTTAAAATGGAAACATCGAATGTAAATTGTGTATCGATGCATGGTAGTGCATCGATGCACCTTGTTGAAACATTTTAATATTTCGATATAACAAATTAAGTTAAATGGATTTTAAGATTTTCCAAATGATTTTCTAAGTATATTCGATATAACTATTCGAATATCAAAACATTACTCCAAATATTTCAAAAATCATTTTTTGATCCTTACTTAAGTGTAAAATTAAGTTTTAATCATAAAACAATTTCAAAATATTTTACAAAGTATTTCGAACCAATTCAAAGCCAAAAATTCCAGAATACTCAGAGGGAACCGATTCCCCCCCATAGGAGGAACCGATTCCCCCCTGAATGGTTTGGCTCCGAGATTTCCAGAATGCTCGGAGGGAACCGATTCCCCCCAAGGGGGGTACCGATTCCCCCCTGTTCAACGGTCGAAATATTTGAATTTTACACTTAGGGAACCGATTCCCTATGATAGGGAACCGATTCCCCCCACTGTCCAAGCTGTTTTATTAAATGTTTTCACACTAAAACGGCTATAATATCTTCTCTAATTATCCCCAACGTTCAGAAGTGATTCAAGGTGTATTTAAGCAAGCTTAGAAGCCATTGATCAAAAACAAGAAACATCAAGCAACTAGAATCAAGAGAGAATCAAAGAGAAAGCATCAAACCTCAAGTTTGAGCATTTCAAGCCCATTTTCATTCAATATTCATTTTGCTTTCAAGAACACTTTTGTGCTCAATTGTATTCATCTTTGAGTGTTCTTTTCTTTGTTCTAGAATTGTGCAAACATCTTACCTTGTGAGGTTTTCTTGTAAGTTTGCAAATTTGTAATCTTCTCTTTGAGAAAAGAGTGTTCTCAAGAGTTGGGGTATACTCTTGAGGGAATTGTAAGGTTATCTCTTTGGCCTCAAAAGAAAGAACAAATTAGTGAATTTGTTGGAAAATCCTTAGTGTGGATAGCTAAGGTAGTGGACGTAGACTTTGTTTGAGAAAGTCGAACCACTGTAAATCGCTGTGCAATTGCTTTCAATTTTCTGCAAAAGCTTCCACAAAATTTTATTGCCAATTCACCCCCCTCTTGGCCAATTTCGTCATTCGATTAACTCAACAATTGGCATCAGAGCCTAACTCATTTGAAGGTTTAATCGCCTCTTGAGTCGATCCGGGAAGAGTTACATCGATTACAAAGTCATCAATGGCCTCCACTTCAAACTTCGACTCCGGTCTTGATTCGATGCCCGTCAACAAGCCTCCTTTCTTCAATGGAGCTAACTATGCCTATTGGAAGAATAGAATGATGTACTTCATTCAAGCAAGTGACATGGGAGCATGGAATGCTGTAGAAGAAGGATACATCAAACCTCTCACTCATCCAAGGTTGTGGAGTGAAGGAGAGACAAGAATGTTCCAGCTCAACTCCAAAGCCATCCATATTATTTTTTGTGCTCTTGGACCAGATGAATACGGAAGAGTTTCATCGTGTACAACCGCCAAAGAAATATGGGACAAACTTCAAGTCACACATGAAGGTACAGATGAGGTAAAGAAATCAAAAATTAGTATTCTAACGCATAGCTATGAAAATTTCAGGATGAAACCAAATGAAGACATCAAAGCTATGACGGATAGATTTTCAACGATTGTCAATGGTCTCAAATCATATGGAGAGATCATCTCAAATGAAAAGCTTGTGAGGAAGTTAGTCTACTCCCTCCCAAAATCATGGCAATCAAAGAAGACGGCAATCATCGAGTCTAAGGACCTATCGTCCTTAACTCTTGAAGAACTTATCGGTTCACTCCTCACTCATGAGATGATGCTTGAAGATGAGGTGGACCTTGATAAAGTTGAAGAGACACCAAAGGAGAAGGAGAAGAAGAAAAACATTGGAGTTGCTCTCAAATCCACAAAAGATGAGAGTGATTCTAATGATGATGATGACGAGGAAATGGCATTGTTTGCCAAACGGTTCAGAAAAATGATGAGACCTTACCAAGGAAGAAAATTCAAACGAAACGAAGGCCTCAAAAATGAACCAAAAGAGAAGGACCCAATCATTTGCTATGAATGCAAAAAGCCGGGGCATGTCAAATATGATTGCCCACAATTGAAGAAAAAGGGTCAATCAAAGAATAAGCACAAGGCTCATGTGGCTACATGGAGCGATGAAGAAGGTTCCGATGAAGAGGAACAAGAAGTAGCAAACTTGTGCTTGATGGCATTCGGGGAAGATTCTAAGGTAACCTCTAACTCATCTGATTTTGATGATTTATCTTATGATGAGCTATTAGAGGAATATAATGGGTTGGCTTCGGATTATGAGAAATTATTTTTAAAATATAAAAATGATGTTTCAAAATTGAAAAATGAAAATAAACTCATATCCAAAACCAACAATGATCTTGAAAGTAAAATTAAAGATTTGCAAATCAAACTAGAAGAGTTTGAAAAGAAAAATTTAGATTTGCAAAATTTACTTTCAAAGGTCAATGATGATCATCAAAAGAAAATTGATGATCTTAAAATCTCTTTTGAAAAAGTTGGAACAAAACGTTTTGAAAAAGGAGAAAATTCAAAATCCAACTTTGTTAGAAAAGATTTTAGAAACTACAATCATAGAAATCCTCAACGAACCCTAAATGGTAAAATATTTAGAAGTATATGGGTTCCTAAAGGACTCATTACTACTAAAGATAAAGATATCCTACAAAAATGGATACCTAAGGGAACTAGGATTTTGGAAACTAATGAATATGGACCCAAAAGAATTTGGGTACCAAAAATCAAAAATTAATCTATGTTTGTAGGGAAAGGAGCATTGCTACAAGGCACGGGAAACAAATTCAAACTCATGGTACCTTGATAGTGGATGCTCAAGACATATGACCGGAGACAAAAGCCGGTTCATTGAGCTTAACGCCAAAAATGGAGGAGAAGTGACTTTTGGAGACAATTCAAAAGGTCACATTGAAGGTATTGGTACAATAGGTAATACCTCTTCCATACAAATTAAAAATGTTTTATATGTGAATGGATTAAAGCATAATCTATTGAGTATTAGTCAATTATGCGATAAAGGATTCAATGTCTTATTTGAAATTAATGGTTGTAAAGTCATTGACATTGCATCTAATCGGATTATGCTTGTTGGTCATAGAATAGGAAACATTTACATGGTGCATTTAGATTCTATTGATATGACTAATTTATGCCTAGTTGCTAAGGATGAGCATGATAGTTGGTTATGGCATAGGAGACTAGGTCATGCTAGTATGAGTGTTTTGCAACGGCTAATTCAAGGTGATTTAGTTCGAGGGTTGCCTAAGCTTAAATTTGATAATGATAAAATCTGTGATGCTTGTGCTAAAGGAAAACAAAAACGAGTTTCTTTTAAATCTATTAATGATGTATCAACTAGTAGAGTATTACAATTGATCCATTTAGATCTTTTTGGGCCAACTAGAACTACTAGCTTGGGAGGAAAACAATATGCATTTGTCTTGGTAGATGACTATTCTAGATACACTTGGGTTCTATTCTTAAGTACTAAAGATGAAGCATTAGAAAATTTCATCACATTTTCAAAAATAATCCAAAATGAAAAAGGTTACTCTATCACTAGTGTTAGAAGTGATCATGGAACTGAATTTGAAAATCTTGGATTTATTGAGTTTTGTAATTCTAACGGTATTAGCCACAATTTTTCAGCACCTAGAACCCCTCAACAAAATGGAGTTGTTGAGAGGAAAAATCGAACTTTAGAAGAAATGGCTAGAACCATGCTTTGTGAAAATAATTTGCCAAAATATTTTTGGGCGGAAGCCACAAATACCGCTTGTTATGTTGTAAATCGAGTAATGATTAGGCCAATTTTAAAGAAAACTCCATATGAAATTCTCAAAAATAAAAAGCCTAACATTAGCTATTTTCATCCTTTTGGATGTAAATGTTTTGTTTTAAACAACGGTAAAGAAAATCTTGGTAAATTTGATGCTAAAAGTGATGAAGGAATTTTTCTGGGTTATTCCTTAAATTCTAAAGCTTATCGTGTATTTAATAAAAGAACTTTAGTTGTAGAAGAGTCTATACATGTTGTTTTCGATGATAATCCCCTTCCGAGGAAGGATTCTTCTGTTAATGATGATGTAGGTATTGTACAAGCAAATGACGTTAGACATTACGTTGGAGAATCATCATCAAAGGAAGAAACAAAAGATGAGGAAACTCATGATCCCCTCGAGAATCCAACCATTGAAGAAAGGGAAGTATCTTTTCCAAGAGAGTACAACTATGTCAAGGATGGTGAAATTATAGGTGATCTATCAAAAGGGGTAACTACTCGATCTTCTCTTAGAAATATCTGTAATTATGTTGCATTTATTTCATGCATAGAGCCTAAGAACATCAAAGAAGCATTAAAAGATGAACATTGGATTATGGCTATGCAAGAAGAATTAAATCAATTTGAGAGAAGTAAAGTATGGACATTAGTTGAAAGGCCTAGTGATAAATCTACTGTAGGTACTAGATGGGTTTTTAGAAATAAACTTGATGAAAGTGGTAATATAGTGAGGAACAAGGCTAGACTTGTTGCTCAAGGCTATACTCAAGAAGAAGGCATAGACTATGATGAAACATACGCTCCCGTAGCTAGGATGGAAGCAATTAGAATGTTATTAGCATTTGCATGTTTCAATGAATTTAAATTATATCAAATGGATGTTAAAAGTGCATTTTTAAATGGTTTTATAAAAGAAGAAGTGTACGTGGAACAACCTCCAGGTTTTGAAGATTCAAATTTTCCGGATCATGTTTTAAAATTGACAAAAGCTCTTTATGGTTTAAAACAAGCTCCTAGAGCTTGGTATGAAAGATTGTCAAATTTTTTAATTGAAAAAGGTTTTTTAAAAGGAAAGGTTGACACTACATTGTTTTTAAAGAGAAAAGGTAAAGATTTATTAGTAGTTCAAATTTATGTTGATGATATAATATTTGGTTCTACTAATGATGTTCTTTGTCAAGAATTTTCTAAGCTAATGCAAAGTGAATTTGAGATGAGCATGATGGGGGAGCTCTCATTTTTCTTGGGACTCCAAATCAAGCAAAGAAAAGATGGCATCTTCATTAATCAAGCTAAGTACGTCAAAGATATGCTCAAGAAGTTTGGACTGGAAAATGGGAAACCTCATAACACTCCAATGAGCTCTTCAACAAAGCTTGACTTAGATGAAGGAGGTAAATGTGTAGATGTTAAATTATATAGGTCAATGATTGGCTCTTTGCTTTATCTAACTGCAAGTAGACCGGACATTATGTTTAGTGTTTGCTTATGTGCTAGATTTCAATCATGTCCTAAGGAATCACATTTACTAGCTGTTAAGAGAATCTTTAGATACCTTAAGGACACTCCTAGTTTAGGACTTTGGTATCCTAGAGACTCTAGTTTTAGCTTGCATGCTTTTTCTGATGCGGATTATGGAGGATGCAAATTAGATAGGAAAAGCACCTCCGGTACTTGCCAATTCCTTGGAAATATGCTGATTTCTTGGTTTTCAAAGAAACAAAATTGTGTTGCATTATCTACCACTGAAGCTGAATACATTTCAGCTGGTAGTTGTTGTGCACAAGTTTTATGGATGAAACAACAACTTTTTGATTATGGAATTGAAATATGTACTATTCCTATCAAGTGTGACAATACTAGTGCTATTTGTCTCACTAAAAATCCCATCCAACACTCTAGAACTAAGCACATTGAAATAAGACATCACTTCATTAGAGACCATGTCACTAAGGAAGATGTAGTTCTAGAATTTGTTGATACTTTGCACCAATTAGCGGATATCTTTACAAAACCCTTAGACAAGGAAAGATTTTGGACACTTAGGAGAGAATTAGGTTTAACTGACCTATCTTCACTTAGTGTTTAAAATAATTTTAGCACTTTTAATAAATACTGAAAAATGCTTACTATAATAATTTTTGATTGCATTCTTGCTATTAATTAGGGGGAGTTTGTAATTTTTAGTGAAAATTAATTTTATGTTCAAAAATCGATTAAAGATTAATTTAATTGTTTGAACATAATTAATTTTTGATATATGAGTTGCCAATACCACTAGAAAAGATTAATTTAGCATTTTGTGCTTAAAAAAAAAATCGGATTTTAGCATTTTGGTGCAGAGGGAATCGATTCCCCCCTTGAGGGAACCGATTCCTCCTTTGAAGGGGAACCGATTCCCCCCACAGGGGAATCGATACCCCCCTGGGGTTCTGTTAAAATCGAACAGAAAACCCCAAAATCCCAAACCCTCTTTTTATTATTTCTTCCGCCGTTCTCACTCTCTAAACCCCTCAAATCTCCATTTTTGCCTCAAATCAACGATAATAATCGGATTTTGCTTCATAAATCATCTTCCAAACCTGTTGGAATCATTAAAATCGTGCAAACAACATCTAAATCCCCTCAATCTTCATATTTCAAGGTAAATTTTTCTAAACTCTTTATTTCATTATTTTTGAACATAGGATTAGTTTCAATTAGTTCTAGGTTGAAATAGTGATCGGGCATTGATTATTTAGTGATTAGAAACTAGATGTTACAACTAATTTCATCAAAAACACAAGAATTTTTCAAAATTTTTTTTAAATTTTCGAAATAAAAAAAAAATGTTATTTTTCAAATTATTGTGTTTTGATCAAATTATATTGTTATTATGAAAAACTATACATATATTGTTTCTCAAAACCATATTTTTCAAAAGTTTTTCAAAAACTTTGCCCATTAGGATTGTTTTAGAGAATCTTGAAATATTGAGGACTCATTTGAGTTTTGGGATTAATTGAATTGCATACACTTGTTTTAAAATTGCAGGTTATTATATCTATTCCGATTTCCTTCACCATGTCAAATCCTAAACGTCCTAGGTCTTCATCTAGTCGTTCTAGTCGTCAACCAAATCCACCTCAAAATCCTCCTTCTATTCCAATTTCTAATCCCAATCCCACTGATCCTAACTTGACTATCCAAAATTCGTGTTTCAATCATCCTGGGTCTAGAAATCACCGATATTGGTATTATCAATATTTCGATTCTTACAAAATCCGGGAAGAACGTATTCCTTCTCGTCAAGCTATGTTAGCTATCGATTTTAAATATCTTCCCATTTTACAAGAATGGAAATTTGATAAACTATTTGATCTTGAACCCATCGTTTACCATCAACTTATTCGTATATTCTACTCTAATGCTGTATGTGTTAAAAACCAAGCTGAAACAGAAACTATAGGAATTCGTTCCTACCTCCTAGGACAATTCTTATATATTGACCCAGCATATATAGCCAATACATTTGGATTAGATAATGATGGTATCTCGAATGAAAAACAAATTTTAGGTTCTCGTTACAAAAGAAGAGATAGTGCGAGTGTCTTAGACCTACATGAGCGTTTTCTTCATCTAATGATTTCTTGGTGGTTTCGACCATCCGGAGGTCGTTATTCTACTCTTAGAGCTTTGGATCTTTGGTGGTTACATTGTTTCGAAAACCGTATTAAAATTAACCTACCTCAGATTATTTTTGCTGAAATTGTTGAAACCGTAAATCTTGTTCCTAACAAGAAACACTGTTCATCTCTAGTTTACGGTTGCTTTTTGAGTAATCTGTTTTCCAAAGCTGGGCTTAGAGTAAGTCTAGATGCCGTTTTTCCTCTTAAGAAACAAATAAATCTTCTTTCCTTAACGAGAGCGGGATGGGTAAAGGACAAAGAAACCGGTGAATGGGTTCGTTCTTCTACTCCGGGAGCTAGTTCTTCACAACCTCCACCCGAAGCTGACGAAGATCCCGAGTTTGAACAATTAATGAGGGATATTGATGAAGTTGAAGAAGAACCTGATCAGCCCGAAGAGCAGCCCGAGGAGCAAGCACAACAAACGCATCAAATGCCTCCATATTTTCAATCCTTTATGGAGACATTCGATTACCGATACGCTACCATGGACTCGCGTTTTTCCTCTATAGAGTCTCATTTATCCACAATGGGAGCTCAACAATTAGAGATTCTTCGGGAGATGCGTGCAAACAATGAATCAACCAACGCTCGTATCAATGAACTCACACACGAGATGGCCGCTATGCGAGCCCGTTTTCCTCCTACCGATCCGGATGCTTGATTTTATGTTTAGTTTTAAAACTTTGAACAAAATGAATATTGTTTCAACATTTTGATATGTTTGATTTTGTGGATTGTTGGATTTTGGATATATGAATGGTGTGAACTTATATGTTTGGTGTGTTTTATTCATTTTTGCATCATTTACATTATCATTAGCAATATGACCAATTTTGCCATATCACATTATTTATGAATATTGATTTATGAAACTAATGGCTAACCTCTCTTTTGATTATGATCTTAGCAGCTTAAGCTTATAATTAATAAATCAATTGGCTAAATGATTTACAAAACCTTGTTTTACAATGTCTTTTTGATTTAACAAAAAGGGGGAGAAGAATAAGTGTTAAAGTAAGGGGGAGTAATTAGTAATTTCTAATTTTAATTTTCTAATTTCAAAACTTGATTTCAAAAATCTTAAAATTACTAAAATGTTTTGTTATATCAAAAAGGGGGAGATTGTTGAAACATTTTAATATTTCGATATAACAAATTAAGTTAAATGGATTTTAAGATTTTCCAAATGATTTTCTAAGTATATTCGATATAACTATTCGAATATCAAAACATTACTCCAAATATTTCAAAAATCATTTTTGATCCTTACTTAAGTGTAAAATTAAGTTTTAATCATAAAACAATTTCAAAATATTTACAAAGTATTTCGAACCAATTCAAAGCCAAAAATTCCAGAATACTCAGAGGGAACCGATTCCCCCCCATAGGAGGAACCGATTCCCCCCTGAATGGTTTGGCTCCGAGATTTCCAGAATGCTCGGAGGGAACCGATTCCCCCCAAGGGGGTACCGATTCCCCCCTGTTCAACGGTCGAAATATTTGAATTTTACACTTAGGGAACCGATTCCCTATGATAGGGAACCGATTCCCCCCACTGTCCAAGCTGTTTTATTAAATGTTTTCACACTAAAACGGCTATAATATCTTCTCTAATTATCCCCAACGTTCAGAAGTGATTCAAGGTGTATTTAAGCAAGCTTAGAAGCCATTGATCAAAAACAAGAAACATCAAGCAACTAGAATCAAGAGAGAATCAAAGAGAAAGCATCAAACCTCAAGTTTGAGCATTTCAAGCCCATTTTCATTCAATATTCATTTTGCTTTCAAGAACACTTTTTGTGCTCAATTGTATTCATCTTTGAGTGTTCTTTTCTTTGTTCTAGAATTGTGCAAACGTCTTACCTTGTGAGGTTTTCTTGTAAGTTTGCAAATTTGTAATCTTCTCTTTGAGAAAAGAGTGTTCTCAAGAGTTGGGGTATACTCTTGAGGGAATTGTAAGGTTATCTCTTTGGCCTCAAAAGAAAGAACAAATTAGTGAATTTGTTGGAAAATCCTTAGTGTGGATAGCTAAGGTAGTGGACGTAGACTTTGTTTGAGAAAGTCGAACCACTGTAAATCGCTGTGCAATTGCTTTCAATTTTCTGCAAAAGCTTCCACAAAATTTTTATTGCCAATTCACCCCCCTCTTGGCCAATTTCGTCATTCGATTAACTCAACACACCTGTTAAAGAATGCATCGATGCACTGTAGAATGCACCGATGCACTTCAATGGAAAATGAAATAAATCGTTATTCAACCTATGAAATGATAGATTAAAGTATATTAATTGGATACTGGTAGTATCAATACATGATTATGTAGACATCGATCGAAAGCAAAGTTCGGATAGATCGATAGAGTAAGATACACAACAGAAACAAGAGTTTAAAAGGGTTCATTGAGACCAGGTGAGTACATGATGCTATGTTAAGGAATTAAGACTTGCGATGAGTCCAATTCCGATATTATATGATATAAGTATTAAAGCATAAACATGTAGTGATATGGTGTTAGATGTATGGTATATGACTAAATGCATATGTTTAATTGTTGAATGCATTTTTATGTGTGAACTATGTAAATGCTTGTATTATGATAATATGTCATGTGATCATGAAATATATGATAAGATATATATGAAAATAATATGACTCATATGTGCTTCTATTATAATGTTATATGGTATGTTAGTATAATAAGATATATTAGATATTGATAATAAGACATAAGATTATATGCATATGTAATATATGTTAAAAGATAAGAAATAATATGTTATATGCATGTGAGAAAAAGGTATATGTGATGTGACCATGTGTGAAAAGGATGAATAATGTGAATTTCATGGAAAATGCTACGTGAAAGAAAACTACGTGACTATGTGATCAAATGAAATGTGATAAAGAACTATGTGATATGAATATGTGAATGTGTAATGAGGTAAAAGATAATGCCCATGTCATGTGTTATGAGAGCTATAGGTATAGTTGGCATGCCAAGAGTCGAGGGTCTACGCGGTCCTTCGGGACATAGTGATCTTTCGGGACATATGTGTTATACGTGGTCCTTTGGGACATATGTGTTATATGTGGTCCTTCGGGACATCTACGTGGTCTTTCGGGACAAATTCTTCGCGCCCCTAATGGGATTTATACGAGCTGTGGTGACAACATAATGCACAACCTCTATGTACTCACGTACCTTAAGTTCTCAATAGTGTGCATGGGCTTTGAAAAGAAACCATAATTTGATATAATGATATGTGTGTTTCTCGTGAAATGGTACATGTGATATGCGATATGTATAAGTGATAAGTTAGGATTATATGATAATAATGATAACAAGTGTATATGGGTAATAGTGTTATGAGATGTGATA